GCATCCCAGAGGAGGTTTTGCCCCGGAGAGTGAAAGGGAGCAGCCAGTTTTGCTGCTCATCTCTCAAGGGGACAACTGAGACCTGGGGGATGTAGGGGATGGAAGAATTGCCTCACTGTAAATTCAGTCACTTTGATTTATCAGGCAGAGGCCAATAGCAGGGACTGACTGCATGTCCAGGCGTGCCGGTGAGGAGCAGTCACCATCCTTGAGCATTGTGGGACCCTGCAGAAGGTCACATCCATGTCTCAGCATCCCCCTGGCAAGAGTCAGCCTGGCTTGGCTTTCGGATTGTAGCTGCGCCTGAGAAGAGCTGGGTGCTGCAACCCACTGAGGGCACAGCATCACTGGCCTCCTCTCCCAGCAAAGGTTGGGTGCTCCCCTCCACAGAGCTGCTGTTCAAGCCCCCGGTGCCAGAGGATGGGACCCTGTGGACAGGCAGGGGTGAGCACCCAAGTTGGTGAGTGCTGGGATGGGGTGACAACAGCCCACCCCAGCCCTGCAGGAGGGTAATAAACGATGCTGGACAAGTTGCCATCAGCAGGATCCAGAAGCGTTATAAAACCTGAATCTCCTGAGCCTTCAGCTGGGACTGCAGCTGCAGAGCAGGAAGCAAACAGGATCCCGGCTGGCATTGTGAAAGCAAACACCATAAATCCGAGGAAGTGCTGTGATTGCTGTTTTAGGCACTGGGGAGCTTGGCTCCTGCTCCCCACAAGCGCTTTATTTTCTCTCTAAACAGAAAAAAAAAAAACAACCCCAACTTATCGCTGGGCCGAGCTGCCCCAGCTGGATCCTGATGCTGCCTTGGGCACTGGGGTGCCTGTGGGATGTGAGCCCCTCTCCTTGCCCAGCGCCTTGAGGATGCTTCAAGCCACAGAGCCCCCAGGGCGACAGGGCAGGGTGCAGGCAGCATGCAGGCAGATGCCAGCTCTGGTCTGTGTCCACCCACCTGAACACTCAATGCTCACCGGAGCAGGCGGCCCCCAGGAAGAGGTGAGCAGGGGGGGTCAGAGAGAGCTGGGCAACCAGGAGCCAGGAAGAGGGACAGGAGGGGACAAAGGGCTACCCAGGGAACCACGGCCGGCTCACTCCATCCTTCCTCCCACAGCTGGTAAGCCAGACGGGATAGCTCCCAGAGGCTGGAACTACAGGTGGGATCAGAGACAACCCCACCAGGACTAACACAATGAGGCTGTTCCTCCAGAAAGGGGACAAAGTGGGGCACATCATGAAAGTGGAGGGGACGTCACGAAAGCGGAGGGGACATCATGAAAACCTTGATGTCACCTTACTCTGGGGGCTGGCTGCCTGCTGGATGGAGCTCGGGGCTGCTGGAGGAGCGTGGGCTCGGAGGCATGCTGGCATGCCCGCTGTGTCCCATGGGTGTCCACGGCCTCAGCACTCACTCCCCAGCCCTCCTGACAGGGGAGAGCCATTTCCACCCCATGGGCTGGGCACAGTGTTTTGCAGGGGCTCTACAAGCCCCGGTCAGATGGTGTCTGTGGGTTCCCGGCCATGGGATGGGGTCCCTAATGGGATGGCGTCTGTGGGTCCCCAGCTGTGGGATGGGCTCTGCCCACCCCAGGCTGGGTGGCAGGCAGGGCTCCGTGGCCCGGGAAGCCCCACGCCCGCTCCCTTGGGCTCCCTTGCCCTCTTTCACATGGTCTCATCCCCCCTTGCTTGCCCCCATGCTCCATCCCTCTCCATCATCCTTTGGCACTCTCCCTGGCTGTTTATCCCAGCTGTGGCTGCTCTGTGCCAGGCCACGTTTTGGCACCAGTGGGTTAGACACGCGTCCCTGCTGCTCTCAGCCCTGGCAGCGTGCTGGCACCCACCCTGGCACCCCAGCACCCTGGCACCTCAGGTACCCCAGCGCCCTAGGTGCGCTGCTGCTCATGGCTCTGCCTGGGCTCCCCTTGAGGGAAACGTGCCGGGAGGGCACGGTGTGTTTAGGGAAACAGACCTTGGCACTTGCTGGCCATCCCGGGAAAATACAAACATCCGGGCAGGCAGCCGCGCAGTGAGTGCGAGAGGCCGGCACTCCATAAATCCCCTGGAGCAGGTGCTTTGTAGTCGGCACAAGGAAATGAGCACATTATTCAGCTCAGCTTAAACCCCGAAACGTTTCCTGTCCTGTGAGTCAGAAATAACCCTGGGAGATCATTCCTGGGCCACGCAGGAGCTGTGCTAGCCAAAAAAGTGCCACACGCCTATCAGGCCCGGGGACCCTCCGGGGAGGTCAGCGGTCCAGGCACCCCACGATA